GATTGCTGCACCTGTCTGTTGCTGTGTTGGTGAGATGACTCGGGGGGTTTATGTGGACATGAAGCCTGGTGCTTCCACAAGTCCCACTTGCGGAAAAATCCCAAACAAAACTCGCAGAGAAGAAAGTCCTGGACGTTTTTCTTCGTCTCGTCCAGCCCTGGTCTTCTTACCGTAATTAACTCGCCTTCACACTCCAGTGTATTCATGTTGTGGTGGTAATCACCCTGGAGACGAAGCTTGGTCAATATTGCTTTCTGCTCGGACGAGTTTTTTCTATGTCCCAAGGCCGACACAACTTCTTCCTCTCCCTTGTGCTTTGTAAGCAGATGTCACCCGATCTTTGCACGCAACAGCCCGCAGTATGTGCACGCGTGCCTTCTGTCGTATACTCGGGAGTTATTTTTGGTCTTTTTCGTGACATTTACATGGACTGCAAAAGAAAGAAAAGTATATTACATTCATGACCTGCATGGGGCTGGTTGTATAAAAAGGTATATAGTTGACTATAAACTAGAGTTGTATAATCCGTTAGCACACGTCAGATTTGTTTACATTTTTTCTATCAAAACAATGAAATTTATCAACGAAGTTATGGCAGTTTTATATATTTTCCTGTTTCCACAGTAATATAAATTATCAAAGTAGCACAGTCAAGCATTTCAACTTAAACTGCTTATATTACGAACAAGAGACTCCAATATACGCATGTGCAGAACGGACTGTGCAGCATCTTTAAATAAGGGTTGCATGTCCAATCAGAATCGAACATTTTAGGGTTAACTGCGATTTAACTATACCCAAAATGTAGTTAAACTGCAGCCTGCAGCTAAACCATTTTATACAACAGGCCACCGCGGAACGGAAAACCGCGAATGCGGATCGAGAACAGCTTGGCAACAGCATATACGGCTTACAACCAGCCTCGTACCCAGGCGCAATTAACTAAAAATAGGCATACTACAGTTTTTTTTATATAGATCAGTGGCTAAGATGAGCGAGCGCGCGGGGGTGCTTGGGGAGGACGCAGCGGGTTAGCGAAGCGCCTGGGAGAATATGTAGATTTCATCCTCTCACTTTTGCAAAAAGTGACAAATATGAATTGGCTTGAAAATGTGAAAATTTTTGAAAAAGTATCGCACCTGTGATCGCAATTATGGATGATTTGGAACGGTCGTTTCAAGAACTACCGTATGTAGTTTATTTCGATTCATTGGTTTATCATCATCAAGTCTGGAAGAAGAAAGTTCACCGTTTGCAAGCGAAGAAATGTGTGTTTATAGAGGTGAGTGTTTGCTGTTTCGTTTGCCTTGAGAGTTCAATATTCTCTCTATATCTATTGATGATAACAAAAGTGCGATTATTTACTGTAATTAGTGTAATATATCTTCATATTAACTATTTCTTGTATCATCTTGACCAAGATTACATGCACACATATAATTTGCAACTAGCATAATATGATATTATGCTAGTTGCAAATTATATGTGTGCATGTAATCTTGGTCAAGATGATACAAGAAATAGTTTTCATATTTTAAAAGAATTTTAATAAAACTCTAGGACAGAATGTTACGAGCTCCACACAACAGGATAAAGAATCATTTCAAACAGGGAAGCATCCTTTAATAATTTAACACCAGAATCAAAAGCCCATGTTGAGTCCCAGCCAAAGAGATTTGCCGGTAAAAAAAATACATTAAAGTTGTAAATACTTGAATAGTATATTTTCAGCCAACAATCACTGAATTGACAGAATTTTCATACAGAGCTCTGTGTACAGTAGTGTTGTCACTATTTAAGACTACTGCTTGATTTTGTATATTTATTAAATTTGTCATGAAGTGATTTGTTTATTTTTGTTTTTCTAGTGTATTGTGTACAGTTTGACTACTTTGACATTTGTTGATGTTCTTGAATTCCAAAGGATCCTCAACTACCTGTGATATAGTATTGTATAATATTAGATTCACAACCCATGAAATGTATATTTTCTCTGTAGCTGGTACAGTTCAATGCAGCACAATCTGATTGAGCAAAAGGCTCTCTGGCAGTCACCTTATGACTGGAGGGTTGTGTTTGAGGCTAATCCCCAGACAGCCTGTCAACACTCCCTCTGGAGAAAACTGAGTGTTGACCAACTCTTTGGTGTCATTGAAGTGGTGATAATTGAACCGCCCACAATCTCACCCAGAATGCCCTTGTTCTGACAATTGCAGGACCAAAGTCGGTGGTGCAATCATCACGCCACCATAGCCCCAGTAGGGTGCAGTGCAACTTAATGGGTTGGGCTAAGCTGTCAATTTGTGCCAATGTGCCTAGCTTGTTGAGAAGTTAAGCTGTGGGTGAGTGGGTGTATAAATAAAAGCCCACAAGAGTATTAAATTGCATAAATATTGCTATAGCTCTAGATTTCTTTGAATGTAAATACTAGTAGTTTGAGTTGTGTGCAAAATAATTAAATGATAAAATTCTCAAGAGTTTAGTTTAAATGTTATAGGGGTTGTTGTTTGCATAGCATGTTGATAAGTTGGTATATCTCATTTGGCGAAGTTGTGTAAAACAAATGCCCTTTCCAATTTGGCTGAACCAAAGACCATATACAGTATTCATGAGGATTTAGGAGCAAGCACAGAAACAACTGGGATAGGGTTTTGTTGTGTTTACACTAGAAAGCCTACACCTGTCCAAGCAGTTTATTGGGACCTACCTTGAGTAACATGACAATAAAGTATTTGAGGTGGCTCTAAACATGTTTGGATTGTTTAATCTCGAGACCAATTTCCATGACAACATATGGTAAATCATGTGTTATGTGTGTATTGTATGTGTATGTTTACACACCACACTTTGTCGAGTTGATTTTAGATTTTGCTGAATGTTGACAAATATTTCAGTGAGACCATCAGATGTTTGCCACATATTTTTTAAATACCATTGATTATTAACATGCATCTGAAATCAGCCCAACAATTTGTGATATGCAACCATATCTCTAAATTGCTCAATTTGTTAGACTCTGTCCTGTAACTAGGTGTCAAATGCATTGTATGTAACCACAGGTAAATCCAGAGTATACCCCCATTCCTTAGTGTAAACATTGTAGATTTTGGCAATCAAGGGCAATAGCCTTCATAGGTCAAAAGCAAGGTGAAACACAAAATACACATCAACAAATGAAACATGCATGAGGTGATATTGGGTTGGTTTGTGCTTTAAACTTACTGTCAGCCAGTTACAACAATAGCTAAATGGCCAAAACAGGTTGATATTAATGTTTTTGTCTAAATTGTCTTCACAGACTTCACCATATTTTGCACTTACGCATGTTTAATTTTATAGCCTTATAGGCCTTTTATTGGCAAAATTTTAGAAACTAACTAAAGAAACATACAATCATAAAATATTTCCAGTTAATTTTCTCCTCTGAGGTAAAATGTATCATCAGCACAAATAAATAGTAATTTCAACATTCCATATAATTAAATTCAATGTATTATTAAAATATCAAGAATAACTTGGCCAGTTTCTTTACTTGCATACATTTCTTTCGAACTACAAAAAGGCAGTATGTTCATGATATACATCCAACACCAGACATATATTTTCAACCATTAAAAATAAATCATTTTTTGAATGTTCAATGAACTCGAGTTCTCTCAATGACCAGCACTCAAGCAGGCTTAACTCTAATTTCGAGAGGTCCTGCAGAGGAAAGTCGAAGGGAAAGTCGCCAGCTAAAATGATAAATAATACCGTTTTCAAGGAAAAATCCTTATTACAACGCAGTGATCAATTGGGCATAAAATCTTTCACAAATGTAATGTTCCATGGGCAAATAGTACAGCAATTTCCTCATTTGCATTCTCATGTCCGCCATGTTTGTTACATATTCTCCCAGGCGCTTCGTTTCCTGCGTCCTCCCCAAGCACCCCCGCGCGCTCGAGCCACTGATCTATATAATAACACTGTAGTGTGCCCATTTTTAGCGCCTGGGTACGAGGCTGGGGCAAGTTGTGGTCATGTGCGCCACGGTCTGCCACGGTGGCTATATTTTGATTGCGCAATACAAATGATCAACAATAAAGTTCGATACTTGTCGACTTGACGGGATAAAGAATAATACATCACAAGCTACATGGATGCTATCAAGATGGAAGCTTTTAAAAAAAGGTCGATGTTCTTAGCAAGCTCGTCGAAATCTTTCAACAAGCAAACCTAAGCGAACATATTTCAGGGGAATTATCGCTCTTGAGGCAA